CATTTGACCATTCCGAAGTTCCTTATAACTTACTATAACATAACACATAATTTTGTAGTAATTTATTCCAACTCAAATATTATTAAAACACACATACCTGTCTGATGTATGATTTAATCTATCACTGAACGGATCGAACGCAAGTTGTTTAACAAAAACAAAACATACGTCTTGTTGCAAATTAAAAATATAGTACCAGGATTTTACCAAAATCCATGCAGCCAAATAAAGCCGCCATGTTTTAACGGATGTGCCAGCACTTTAAGCCCATCAGGGGAAGACGGATCTTTCCGGTACATTTGCGAATTTTACACGCAAGCCGGATTTCCTGTCGATAGCCTGTGGGCCCTTCGTTTAATTGGGTTTCATGTTTTCCTTTACAAACATACCTGGGTCTTTGTGATAGACTCTTATCGGAGTAATTGAAAGATGTTCTGAGGCTTATGTAGGTATATGTATGTATAGGCTTACTTTTGCCTTGTTTTTTTTTTCTTTTTAGGTGGATCTTTGAATAAAAATACCATCTTTCGAGAACGATGTTTATAATTACATGATTGTTTTACTATGATTGTTTTTATGGATATTTGTCAATAACAATAAAATGCTGTTTAGCCGACTTTAAAAAAAGAAACTTAGAACTTTTTGTAGGCAAAGAAACTGATGATTATTTTCTTATCAAGAATTGGTTTTAATGGTAATAATGCGTATTTAGTTAACTTCCGACTACATGGATGATCCCTATTTTATTTTCTTAAAATAGTTTTTATTTTTTTGTTAAAATTTTGTATTAGATTAATTTAGAATTCAATAAAAATGCGTATAAGCGTTCTAGAAGTTTGAAAGAGAATAATACAAGTGCTTAAGAAAGTACATGAAGATGTAATCTGGAACGAAGGCTGGTGGCTCGCCATACGCGTCACTTGCACTTGAAGCCATCAGCGGATTAATTCTTTATTGCTACATTACTCGCAATGCACAGAAAACTAATAAAGGGGTCACATACGAACATTAGAAACATCAGAACGCATCCAATCTGCTGCCTACCGCTTAGATATATTCTTAAGCTATTTTTTTTTTATTGCCTAGATTGGTGGACGAGCTCACAGCCCACCTGGTGCTTAGTGGTTACTGGAACCCATAGACATCTACAACGCAAATGCGCCACCCACCTTGAAATATAAGTTCTAAGGTCTCAAGTATAGTTACAACGGCTGCCCCACCCTTCAAACCGAAACGCATTACTGCTTCACGGCAGAAATAGGCGGGGTGGTGGTACCTACCCGTGCGTACAAGAGGTCCTACCACCATTAAATTTTTATAATAGTTTCCCATATATTCGTTCACACAGGATTTATTCGCCTATCTAATAACAAGATACTACAAATTTCTTCATTCGATTTTCATAGTCAACATTCCCTTGAACAGTTCTGCGTTGGAAATGTTTCTGCGACATTTGTCAAGCAATCTATCCAGTAATGCGGTTCGTGACATTTACGAGCCCTTCAACGACAGCGGTTTCGTTGTAATAGGCCAAGTACGGATATTTTGTAATGAAACTCCTAATTCCATCCAGATACACACAAAAAAAAACAAGATTTATTTACATTAATACGAATGACTATGAGCAAATCATCGAGGTTCTTTCTAGGTGTGGTAACTTTCTAGAACTACTGTTTTAACTCTGCGAATTGTCTAATGTATATGTCATTTTCGCTTCGAAAACTTAGAAATCATGTACCTAGTCAGGTCATAAATTCTGTCACATGTTTAATGTAAAATAATTGAAACAAGTTTATTCATTATATAACCATTCATATACCAAAATAAACTTAACAAAACATAGATTCTTATGACACTAAAGTTTATTCAAAATGACCTCCGTGATTTTGAATACAGGCCTTCAATCTGCGCAGCCAGTCGTCTATCGCAGCACGAACGAGGTCCATGTCAATATCGGTGGCTGCCTTAATCAAGGATGTCTTGAGAGACTCCAAATTGGGATGAGGCTTTGAGCACGCCTTTTCCTCCAAGTGTTGCCATATCTTGTAATCTAACGGATTCAAATCTGGACTGGAGGAGGGCCAGTCTTCGTGCCGAATGAAGTCGATTTCACGCGCCGCCAGCCAGTCTTGTGTGCTCTTCGCTCTATGAGCTGGCGCCGAATTTTGTTGGAATACCCAGTGCCTGTTATTGAACATGGTATGAGAAACAGGTTCCACAAGGTTCGTCAGGACTGTATTTTGATACACAACTGCATTCGTTTTTACACCTTTCTCACAAAAATGTACCTCTGTTAAGCCCCAATAAGAAACTCCCAACCATACCATGAGCGAGGATGGAAAATGACCTCGTTGGACACGCGGAATACGGTTGCTCGCTTCTTCACTACTGTGTGCGTACACCTTATCATTTTGTTTGTTGTAGCTCTCTTCTACGGTAAAAATTTTTTCATCCGAAAAAAGAATTTCCCGATATTTTTTTCCCGCGTACCGCTTCAACAAAGCGCGGCATCTCTTCAGTCTCAGGTCCATTAGACGAGCATTCAAACGATGTCCTGTTTTTCTTCGATATGCCCGAAGCCCTAAGTCTTCATTTAACACCCTTTTCACCGTGGTTCTGCTTAACCCCATCTGAAGGGCCAACAGTTTCTGCTTACGTTTGGGATTTCTTTGAATTCGCGCCTTCACAGCTTTTATCACTGCTGGAGTCCTAACAGACCGAGGGCGACCACTTCTTGACCTGTCATCTACACTAGAGTCTTCATTGTATCGTTTGATGGTACGATAAACGAATCTTTTGGTTATATTCAAATTTTTCAGTATGTTAAAAATTTGAATTGGCGCGTAACCGCAACGATGCAACGCAATAACTGCAACACGGTCTTCTTTAAGCGTCCACTCCATATTTAAAAATGAGTAAAATTCTAAAAGTATACATTTTTATTTTCATGATCAAATCGAAATTCGAATTCAATAAACTTTTTTGTGGCCAGCATTCTAAAAGAAAAGTTTTTACTGTGTGACAATACTTATGACCTGACTAGTTATATTGAGGCGAAATCTATCATTTAACACAAGATATTTCCCAGATACCTGAATCTCACTTACGACATTTTCAAGATAAGCCTCCATACCGGCAGACCATCGGTCTGTCGAGCAATATCACCAGCACGACAGAAGATCTTCGCTTTATCGTTACACCGCCCAAAATATTAATACAATTGAGACTGTGATCTTACATGATTGAGGTAAGCAGTAACGCTTACCTGGTAATAAGCAGGGTGGTGGTACCTACCCGCACGGATATTTTGGCTGTGCAGCAGTAATGCGTTTCGATTTGATGGATGGAACAGATGTTACTGTTAAACTGAGATTTAGAACTCATCACGCAAGATGAGTGAGACGGTATTTACATTTTTGATGTTTATGGGATCCGGTGCAATACCAGAGAGATCCTGAGCTCCTCCAAAAGCAATGTACCAAAACAAAAAAAAAGAGATTTAATAAAACAAACTTTCTTCCCTAAAATTTTTATTTTCGACTAGCTACATCCCAATATAAAAATACAAATCTTATTTTATTTTTCAACAATCAGACAAAAGTTATTACTAATCAGCTAAACAAAAACTGAACTCTTAAAAATTGCATCGAGATTTTTTTTTTATACAAACAAATATTAACATTTTTCATTTTACTACGCTTCATCTATTTAGTAACTTTTATCAGATAGTTGAAAAATTAGCTCTTAATTATGTTAAGAATAAAAATTTATCCAGATGAATTTCTATACAACACAGATGATACAGTAAAATGATGGTTCTTAAAATTAATTGTAAATTAAAACTTATTTATTATTAGTTATTTTTTTGCAGATTAGTATTGTGGCATTTAAATGGAAGAATTCACGATTTTCATTAGATCTACGCAAGAGGAGAGCTTTTTGGAGTTTGACTTAATATAATTAAATGTTTTTTTTTTGCCACAAAACGTTCGCAAATATATAGGTATCTAAGGAATCTTAGAATTAATGAATTCAAAGCGCAATCAGATTCCCATAAATTTACTTAAACAAACTGTATTTAAACTAAGTTGAAACTAAATCACAAATAAGGTAACTTAACGCGCGCGATCTTTATTACGCAATATTACTAATTAAAATTAAAGCTACATATGAAAAAAAACAATTCGCAACATCTCAGGCTTGTATTTCTTCGACAAAACATTAACTTAAAACTAAAGTGTTGCAACCCTAACAAGTGCGTTCAATACGAACGTTATTAAAATAAAGAAATCACTTATATTTGATGTGGTTGCATTTTTTTTCTTAAATCCTATAATAAAAATAGTTTGAAAAAATATTCAGAAATTATTAATACCATGTTTTAACGAAAAAAAGGGTTTCTGATTTTGATATTTTTTATTATTCTTACTAAAATAAATGTCAATATTTTTTATGTTTCTTATTCAATCACGCAAAAATTAATTAAAAGATTAGAGGCTTTTAATTTTGGCGTGATGCAATTAAATAATTCTTAAATACCGATCATAAAATTGACGATTTCCGATGCTATAAAACTTAAAAACACGTTCAAATACTTATTCGGTATTTATTTACGCTTTTGTCACTGCACGCAATGTATTAGTAATAGAAATCAGCTGACGCACGGATCACATGGTCTTGTGAGGACGCGGGGGCGGACGTGTTCACGTTACATTGCAGATTCACGAAACATTGATAAAACAATATTAGTTCTTTCTATGTAGCTATTTTTATGCTCCTGATTAAAATAATAATAATGTTTTTCTATTTAGCATTACGCAAACACTATTTAACGAAACATAACCGGTATCTATCAATCCTTTATATGTTATTGATCATATTTTAACCGACATAAGCTCATAATTTTTTTTTATTGCTTATATGGGTGGAAGAGCTCACAGCCTATCTGGTGTTAAGTGGTTACTGGAGCCCATAGACATCTACAACGTAAATGCGCTACCCTACCTTGAGATATAAGTTCTAAGGTCTCAGTATAGTTACAACGGCTACCCTACCCTTCAAACCGAAACGCATTACTGCTCAAATTAAATTCACTCAAATCAAATTCTTTCAAACCACTTCAAGTAAATACAAGACGAATAACAATTTCTACGTAGTATCCATTAAAAAATGCGGATGGAATCTTGCGAACACAATTATTTATATCTTAACATCGAAACGTTATCTTAATGCTAAACACAATGAGCACGCTTATATTCCGAACTGTTGGGTGTCGCAGTTCATTCGCTTACCAAGCTGATGGCATAATGTAGGTGAGCCCACGATGTCTCCTAGGAACACGCTCAGCAAATAATATTCTTTGGCTTGATCCGGAGAGCGCTTGTATTGACTGTAAAAAAATAATGTCCAGTAACTTTTTTTTGTTATTGGTGAGATGGGTGGACGAGCTCACAACTCACCTGGTGTTGGATACCGGAGCCCATAGACATCTACAACGTAAATGCGCCACCCACCTTGAAATATAAGTTCTAAGATCTCAGTACACCTATAGTTACAACGGCTGCCCTACCTTCAAATCGAAACGCATTACTGCTTCACGGCAGAAATAGGCAGGGTGAAGGTACCTACCCGTGCGGACTCACAAGAGGTCCTACCACCTGTAAATTGTTCTCATATTGTTCTTATAGTAAAAACCTTGAGATGATAGAACAAAACTTGGGGGCTAGATTGTTTTTATTGCTCTTGTAGGCAGACGAGCACACGGCACACCTGAGGGTGAGTGGTTACCGTCGCTAATGGCCGTCAGCAATGCCACGGGCAGAGCTAAGCCGCTGCCTATCCTGCTGATTTTGAAGTTACACATGATATGTACATAAATAGTGCTAGTGTTTTAATTTCCACGGAACTTTTAAGATTAATACCATTTATCGGTGGTTGGTCTAGGGCTTAACACACTTACGTTTTATATGAGGTCACAGTCGAAGTCAGTTGATAGATAATTTTATTTGAGTGTAGTGTGAGTAGTAGAGTAGAACTGAAGTTGTCGTGGCCTAAAGGATAAGACGTCCGGTGCATTCGTATGAAGCGATGCACCGGTGTTCGAATCCCGCAGGCAGGTACCAATTTTTCTAATTAAATATGTACTTAACAAATGTTCACGATTGACTTCCACGGTGAAGGAATAACATCGTGTAATAAAAATCAAACCCGCAAAATTATAATTTGCGTAATTACTGGTGGTAGGACCTCTTCTGAGTCCGCACGGGTAGGTACCACCGCCCCGTCTATTTCTGCCGTGAAGCAGTAATGCGTTTCGGTTTGAAGGGTGGGGCAGCCGTTGTAACTATACTGAGATCTTAGAACTTATATCTCAAGGTGTGTGGCGCATTTACGTTGTATATGTCTATGAGCTCTAGTAACCACTTAACACCAGGTGGGCTGTGAGCTCGTCCACACATCTAAGCAAAAAAAAAAAAAAAAAGTTATTTGAGTGAGTAGTTTAGCATAGGAGTAAATCCTGGCTACGGGCAATTGAATTTTGATCGTTTAAATGCCAATTCAAAAATCGCCTTTAAGGCAATATTTTTACGTGTCATGAAGCAGTGTATGATATTTTTTTACAACTTGGCACGCACCGATTATTTCTTTAAAGATATTATACTAAAAGTCCGTAGATTTTATAACGTGAGCATCGCCATCTTATCATATGAGATCAATTTATTTACGACATTTGTTACTCGATGTGAATCCGTTTGAAGTTGTCGTGGCTAACGTCGCGTCTACACTATGAAATTAGTTGCATGACACTAATTTCACCAAAAAATCGCGCAGGGCACGAAACTAATTTGCATGCATGAAATTAATGCATGCATTACGAAAGTATTAAATTACACGTGAAACTGTTGGTAAAACTAATGTCACGAAATTAATTTCACGCCACTAATTTCGTCATGTAAATTCGGCTTAAAGGATAAGACGCCCGGTGTATTCGTATCGAGCGATGCAACGGTGTTCGAATCCCGCAGACAGGTACCAATCTAATGAAATACGTATTTGACAAATTTTCACGATTGACTTCCACGGTGAAGGAATAACATTGTGTAATATAAAACGAACCCCAAAAATTATAATTTGTGTAATTACCGGTGGTCGAACGTTTTGTGAACCCGCACGGGTAGGTACCATCACCCTGCCTATTTCTGTCGTGAAGCTGAACTCATGTCTCAAGGTGGGTGGCGGCATTTACGTTGTAGATGTCTATGGGCTTCGGTAACCACTTAGTGCCAGGTGAACCGTGAGCTCATCCAACCATCTAAGCAAAAAAAAAAAAAAATTTAAAAAGTTATCTTCTAAGTCATTAACATTTTTCAAATGCGCACATCGTTATTAGTTTAGTCATCAAAGTAATTACTATACAAAAAAGGGTGCGTGTACGCGGGTTAAAATGTTATACTTTTTTTTTTAAATTTTAATCATTTTGAAAAAAAATCGAATAAACAACATCCTCTAACACGCATATTGGACATCCCTTTTCTTGACATCGTATAAATTCGGTAATTCTCGGTACGGTTCGGAAAGTTCACCTGCGGCTATATTCAGACTCGCCAAGTTACGTCGGTCGTATTGTAATGAGCGATTTAGTGGGCAAGTTCATTCTGTTAATTTTGTGTCACGGTGTGCGCGCATCGTAAAATTTCACTCTCATCAATTTTTCATAACGCGCCTAAAGAAGTATAACTTCAAAACTTAATTACAGGGTATTATCCAAAAGTAATTTTGTTTTATTATTTTACGCCAGAGAGAGACATCACGTTTGTATCTTTACGTAATCTTTCCTTTTGATTGTCAATCTGTCGCATAACAAAAGTCATCACGTTTTGTTACGGGAAACGATTTCGATTTGTTTCGGCAACTCCCAACAAAAAGTAAACAGTAATAATATGTCATAAAATATGAAAGACGCAGACAAAAGCTCGTAAACACGCGAATTTACTTCACACCTTCAACAATAGAAAACAAACTTTATTCATTTAGACACACACACACACACACAATAAAAATTGTTTTGAGACTTGTGGATATTGTTAAGTAGTAGCGACTTTAGGCTTTGCACCTCGGACTTAAGACTTCTTGTTGGATGGCATTCCTGAATGACATTAGAGAAGTGAAAGTGTTACACGAATTGCATAACGCAGCCACCTCGTACGATGAACGTGCGTCTAGTCTACCATCCGTAAGAATTTAATTAAGATGCATTTTTATTATTCGAGCAAACTCTATTTACAAACTTAACACCAAATTGGTGCAATTCGCCAACATTTGTTCAAATGTTGTGTTATTTATTACTTTGAGTACGAGACTAGTATGTAACCTAGAACGGTATGCCAATATTAATTGTTGGTTCGCAAATAATTCATGTTGCTTCAATTCTAGTTTCAAATATTAATTCGTTTTTTTTTTTTTATTGCTTAGATGGATGGACGATCTCACAGCCCACCTGGTGTTAAGTGGTTACTGGAGCCCATAGACATCTACAGCGTAAATGCGCCACCCATCTCGAGATATAAGTTCTAAGGTCTCAGTATAGTTACAACGGCTACCCCACCCTTCGAACCGAAACGCATTACTGCTTCACGGCGGAAATAGGCGGGGTGGTGGTACCTACCTGTGCGGACTCCCAAGAGGTCCTACCACCAGTAAAAAAATGTATCCTCTATAAATATGAGAATGTGATAAAATTCTATTTCAAAACCATCTGATTGTGTATTTTGAAACTTCAGTCTGTATTTTTATTTTAGAAACTTGACTATAAATTATGTATTTTTATTAAGGATAATGACAAGCTACTACAATGTCTCATCGTATCATAGCAATTCACAAAACTACGTTGGCATTGTAAACTAATTACAGTAATTACGTCCTCAAAAAATTTTTTTTTTCTCACCTTATCCCACTAGGTGGGGTCGGCACAGCTAATTTTTCTCTTCCATTCTCTTCTATCAGCCGTCATCTCAATACTCTCTCCTCTCTCTCTCTCATATCGTCATTCACACACTCCATCCATGTCTTCTTCGGTCGACTAATTAGTCATAAGACTAATAGGATTGCTCGTCATTGGTATTACATTCCAGTCAACGTCATATTATTATACAATCTTACTAAATAAAGCCAGTAATGTACACACGACGCCGCAATGTACATCGCATTCGTGTCCCAGTTGCGAAACGAGTTACTCATCTATTTTCAAAGCAGCTTTATTTCTATATTCAGTAATTAGTAAAACGCGGCTACTCTCGGTTGTGGCTGTAATTAAATGTATGAAAAATATACTTTAATTTACTTAATACACATGCTTTATGACAAAAGCCTCCCATGAAGAATCAACTGAAAAATATACTGTACGAAGCTTGCACATGAGCACAAACCAAGAAGAACAAACACTCATTTTATACACTACAAGGCCTATAGATAGTTCATGTTGCATTTCAACAGTTATATCTATGTGCTTTATAATGGACCGAACAATGGTTTACGACAGAATGATTGTGAAAGATACTACCGGCACTGCTCATTGTAACTACACCCAGAGTTTCAATCGCATTATTTGTTTATTCAAAAAGAATGACTTTTATTCTTTGTCATATCACTCTTGTCAGAGCGGTCGTGATCATCATTCGGTATCATTGCTGTGGACAGATGTTATGTGCCTCACGAGCAATCCCCACTTCTACCGGTTTATGATGAGCCTCGTACGCTCATGCAAACTAACGCCAACTTTGACATTCTTTGCAATAACTTAGATAAAGAATTGCTTGTGTTGCTCTGATCCATAAACAACTGGTTCTATGGCAACACGGCGTCTTTTTATATGCGTATGCGTTGTTATTACGATGATGGATGAAAAATTCAGTCTTGACAAGTTTTCAGTGCGTAAAACTTTAGTGAACACCTAAATACTAAGCAAAATGAGTATCCTTGCCATATCTAAAGCTTTTTATTGCTTAAATGGATGGTCGAGCTCACGGCCCTCCTGGTGTTAAGTGGTTACCGGAGCTCATAAGCTCATGAGCTCATGAAGTCACTGTTTACAACACAACTGCTACCTCACATTTCAAACCGAATTACTACTTCAAAAAGAACCAGTCATATAAAGTCTATCAGATGGATAATTTCAGAGATATCAGGTTTATACATATGTAGCATATAGGCAACAGTGCTGCTTCTACGGAAGCGATGATAGATTATAATTCCTTTCTATTGGACAGGAGTCATATCTCGAAAAATACGTTCAAATTAAAAAAAAAAAGGCACAACTCGAAAAAGATAAACTGGCGCAAGATTTATTAATATACTTAAAAAATCATTAATATTATGCATAATTTAGCACGTAATCATACATATTAAGCTCGTACGATTATCCAATCCGACTGGACGGACGGACACTACAGTTGCGTGAGTATTATTACATCGATGTCCCAGTTTCGCGACACTACAGTGTGACCGCTGACACGAATACAGCGGAATACTGGACGTGGCATTGAAACCGCGAGTTTGGAACCGTTGCGAAATTGATAGAAAGCATAAGATGTACTACGGTGTCAAGGTTATGATTGTTTGGAAATTCCTCCTTTTAGTTCGCTGGTCACGTAGTACGTAAACGCAAAATAACAAAACGAATTTTGGTGAAAGGGAAATTGGTTTTAGAAATAAACCATGCTGTAATCCTCTGATTGTAACGATATTAATGTTTTATGTATGATTGGTTTAAAATAATACAATAAATATAGCCCAAAACCTACCACATGTTGAGTGAATGTAAAAACCCGATTTCAGATGTTGTGACAGAAAAGTATTTCATGCAAAAATCCCAGCCAGTTTTTTGGGCCTAATGTCCATATATTTATTCTTTGTATTTTTATCTCATCATCATCATCATCATCATCATTATCCTGCCCTTCTCCCAGTCACCTGGGGTCAGCGCAACATGTTTTCTCCTTCCATACTCTTCTATCATATACTATTTCTTCGCTCGCTCCCCTCTTACCCATATCGTCTTTCGCACAATCCATCCATTTCTTCTTAGGTCTACCTCTTCCTCTATATCCTTCCACATTCATAGTTAACACTCTCTTACCAACCTCATTTTCATTTCGTCTCATCACACGTCCATACCATCCCAACCGCACACTTCTCAGCTTCTCTGTCACAGGTACCACTTTCAGACTTCCTCTAACATATTCATTCCGTATTCTATCCATTCTCGTTACTCTACACATCCATCGCATCATTCGCATTTCTGCTGCATATCTTCATCATATCTTTGAGCTCATCAAAGTCGCATTCAGTCTTCAAAAGAATTTATTACGCTGACAAGCATCCCCAACCTAGCAGGCTTCAAATATGGCATACAATAAGGATTACGTTAATATAATAGACTTTTGATTACGTGATGCTATTCCCAAATCGTGCATGTACTTCACGAGCACAGTGAGTGACAATGATACATTTTTTTATTACCATTACTATGAGTAGATGATCCTATCTGCTGTGAAGTCGCCTCCAGAACCGACTGACATCATAATGTGAATTCCGCTTCCTACCCTTTAAACATTAACGCTTGTTGACATTTATCACAAAAAATATCATAGTAGCTATTATATTGAACAAAAATTGACTTAAGAAGATTGAGCCTTAAGAAGCTATTTCAGCTTTACCTTAACGTGTAGATGAGCTCTTGGAGGTCAAGCCCGAAGTGTTGCTAAGACTGACCCTAGTAAGAGCAGTGCTTCGCAGAATCTACAATTTTTTTTTTATTGCCCTTGCAGGTAGACGAGCGTACGGCCCACCTGATGGTGAGTGGTTACCGTCGCCCATGGACTTCAGCAATGCCAGGGGCAGAGCCAAGCCGCTGCTTACCGCTTAATACTCCACAAGCCCCTACCACTCGATCGGAAACGCGAAAATACAGTTGTAAATTTAATATTTACCTGAAAACATCTGGCCAGTCAAGCTGAGGCCGCGGTTGCGTTCGCGCCCTGGTCGCATAGTGCGCGCATACACGTTCGAACACGCAAGCTTTGGCACCGAACTCGCCCACTATGTATTTCTCCACTTCTACCACATCGAAGGGCTCGGCTGGGTCCGTTAGCAACAACTCACGGCGACTCCGAGACCGGTATGTCGCTGAAAGAAGATAAATAACCTCTTAAAAGAAGATAAATAAGGTAAAACAAACGAAAACTACATATAAAAATCACTTCGCTGCTCTGACTTTTTTATATTGCTTAGATGGGTGGACGAGCTCACAGCCCACCTGGTGTTAAGTGATTACTGGAGCCCATAGACATCTACAGTGTCAATGCGCCACTCACCTTGAGATATAAGTTCTAAGATCTCAGTATAGTTACAACGGCTGCCCCACCCTTCAAACCGAAACGCATTACTGCTTCACGGCTGAAATAAGCAGGACAGCAGTAAATACTGAATACTGTACGAGCTTGTTACGAAATTTGGTATTGGATGTCTACTTGTTCTTAACTGATAATTATGTATATTTCAGGCATCCACAAGGAAGAATAAAATCCAAGCTTGGCAAATAGCATTTTAAAATTGTGAACCTCCTTTAAAAGGTTCGTAATACAATCTCTTCAGACTTATTTAGGTTATCGACTGAAGGACACACTCACCAAAATTTGGCACTACCGCAATGCCCTAATCATATGGAATGCTTCATCGTGCCATAAAATTTCACCCCCGGTGACTACATACTAAATTGGCAGTGTAAACTAATTACAGTAATTAAGTGTTCAATTACTTAGTTAATATAAGACTAATAGACTTGCTCGTCATTGGTGTTGCATTCCAGACTACATCATATTATTGTACAATCTTACTAAATAGGGCCGTAATGTTCGTAATACAATCTCTTCAGACTTATTCAGATTATCGACTGAAGCACACACACTCTCACCAAAATTTGGCACTACCGCAATCATATGAAATGCTTCATGGACCTCAGATAATCATGATCTTTAGAGCATTATAAATTGGACTGTTAATAAGACCATAAAGTAACAAAAAAGAGGATTACGATCACGACCAGACTTCGGTAGGTCTTCAGTACGAATGAAATCAGAAACGTCCATATCCAATGACGGTTGTGTGAATCGAGCTTTATAATCCAGTGCTCAGCCTTGCTAAGAGGATCTAAGAGGATACTTGGCTATAGAAAATTGTGTTGAAAAGAAATTTCACAATTTTCTCAAGAATATTATCTTGATTTGACACTTGAAGCAATAATATGGTTTTTTATTTTATTAAAATTTCATTTAGTGGTAGAGCGTATTGTAAAAGCACGCTGATAGCGAAGCAGTCATGTTTCCCTGTTTGAAGTGATATAGCCGTTACACTATATTTTGAGACTGAATCTTCATATGCAAGACGGTAGGTGGTTAGGAAGCCAGCCCTATACAGGGTGTCTCAGAAATCAACGTCAAGCCGAAACGGGGTGACAAGATTTATTGTAACCATCATGAGAAAAATCAGAAAAAAAAATCTATCCCATGCAGTTTTGAAATTATGGGCATTTAAGAAAAACCAAAAAATTTGGTCAAACTGTAACAATTTTTCGGTTATTCTTTGTTAACGAATGACCAGTTCATCGCTTATTAACCTGTTATTTCTATGTTATCTTTTAAAATAAGGGGACATGTTTCTATATAGGTGTTATATTGATTTCCATATATGTATTGTACTGATTTCCATGTTTGTATTGTACTGTTTGTTTCTCAAATAAATAAATAAATAAATGATTAAGATGTCGGACAACATTTCTTTGGATTCTTTTGCTTTGATCTAATTTTTATTACGACTACTAGTTAAAGTATTATATTTAAAGACTTAGTGAATCTTTTTCTATCACAAACAAAGGAGTTTCGTTATTTTTGGTACACAAACCTTTGACTAATAATAAGCTGATAGAAAGTTTTAAATAATATATTGTATCCATATCAACCCACTGCTATTTCACTTCTTCATATTACTCACTTCTATTTAACAAGGATTGGCACCGTAAATCACAAAACACACTAAATATTCATATTAGAATGACAGATTCCAAATTTAAATGTAATGTTTATGGTTTTTATCTATCGTAACAATTCATAAATGCAACCTTTGATATTGTGTTAATAAATTGTATTTTTTTAGAACAAATTTGAAATTACCGTCTCTAAGGATAAAATCTTTGCTGTGGTTAATGTTACCAATCTAGGAATCGACTCGTGTCTGTATGACAGGTGATGCTATGTTTGATAATTTGGCCACATGCATAAGATTTACGGTAAACATTTTGTAATATTAATTATTATTTTTAATGACAATTTTAAGCAAGGGATATACCGTGGCGTTCAACCATGTTATGGTAGAGAATGGGTACCTACGCTTGGACAAGAGAACAAATCTGTCATGTTCGAATCTATTCTGGAAGCTATACTCAAATAAACTAAAGGCAAACGGTACTGTTATTAGAGTCAGAATATTGAAACGAAGAGTAGTTTTATACACTTTTTTTTTTCAAGATCTACAAGAAGGCCTCGCGGCAAGACTTAACCGAATAAAGGTAGTTAATGAAAAAGAAAAAAGGTTTAATCAAAACACACCAAAGAAGCTTTAGTAAAATTCGTATTAGCAATTATTATAATTGTTAAAAATGCACACATTCATATTTGCTATCGAATTAATATATTGAACGATATTAAATGAATGTAGCACTGTCAAAGCTAGAAATGTATTTTGAACAAATAACTAATAGAGCTAATGATTAATAGAGTTACGTTTTTTCACTGACAACATGAAGACAAAAGCTTACTAACCTGGACTTAAAGAATATGACAGCTTCTTCAAGAAATTCGTCAACTTAACACTGGTCACGATAAAAGGGAATCCAACTAATTGTACCGGTAATTCGAATGGCGTCTCTTGACCGCCAACAGTACAACAAAAAAGTGCCACGAACAAAATATAAGACGTTCTTCTGTCCATTGTCGTGCAAAAACGAGATGTGAATGTTTTCAAAATTCAAACATCAAATTAGTTACGCAATCTGCTTAAAATTCTATTGTACGCGTCTTCTAAGACCATTGCGAAATGCTCACATTGTATTTTTCTTTTGTTTTTTTTTCCAACAAATTATTGTCGTATGGCACCAACAGAAAAAATTGAGTTCTTTTTTTTTTAAACTGTTTACCTATTTCGACAAAATGGCCGAAAATTTTTCGTTCGAAATTTAAAAATTGCCGCGTATTATGCTTGGTTACGTCACGGTTAAAGAGTGTTACAAGACTGTATAACGCCGCACTAGCCCGTCGGACGGCCGAGATTGCACTGCAAAAACGTTCTCGAGAAACGCATTCACCGTGGTTCTGCAATATCGGTGTACCTTACTTTACATTTGTAGGTCAATCGACATTCTTGTGTCATTCATTGCGTTGGAATACAGATAGTGATCTAACTAGCACTGACGGTCAGACGAAGAACGCGAATTTAAATAAACGAAAATTCATACAAATAATATAATTCTTCTTTTCTTTCCTATCTATGCTGATAGCTGAGCTCTCGAGGCTCAAACCAGGTTTTGCTAACACTGGCCCTAGCAAGAGCCGTGCTTCGCAGAACCTACCACCGAAGCAATTTAGAGTTTTTAATTTGGAAAGAATATAATAACAACAAAACTTCTTCAGCTATTTCAATGGATTAAACTTAATTGAAGTTCAATTAAAAACATCGAATTGTTGATGCTAATACCAAATAAAACGGAGCTTTAAATGACAAAGACAATATAATTTATCATAAGAAGGTTCCGTTGCTCATCAACATTGACCGTGACACATGTCATGACCAAGCCCTGATTAGTGAACAGCAATGTAAAATTATCTCTGCTTAAAATAAATAAGCAACGCTTGCAGCATGCTTTGCAAATCGTAATTTTCAACAAAACTCTAAAACGCTTTAAAAACGTTAATGCGTGCGGATTTAATTAAAGTTTCGTCCTTCAACGTTGTTAAATCATTTGCGGCACGCAAAACTATTATTTAAAAGTAGCACATTAGTCGCTTTTGTAAGCTGTGTTGCTATTGAGAAATTGGCACATGATAATAAGATACATCATCAAAGAATAATGTTATGAAATTCGGATATAAAAATAAAAGACAATCCAATGTGACAATAAAACGATTTACAAAAATCACCAATAAACATGAAATATAATATAAAATTGCGAACATTTCATACAAAACATAGGAATATGAAATCTTCGATCAACAATTGTTGATCGATGTATGAAATTGATATAATTACTTAAATGTCAGGCACAGAACAAACGTAATATTTAAAGTTTTATCATTATTTTTTTATTATTGTTCAGTACTTTTTGATTACTGAAAAGCGTTCTTAAATAACGAAAAATAAAGTAATAATAATAATAATTTTATTTACTACATAAACTCTTAAATCATGACCTAGATTACTATTTACATATTTTAACAATATAATATTAACCATTGATCCTCACACTAGCCATAGCCTGTATCGTGAGGACCAAAATACGATTTACTATGTATATACATCGATCTCAAAACGACATCACTATTATTAATAACTAGCGACCCGTCCTCGCTTCGCTTCGGAAACATTAAATTTTATTATTAATAGCTTATTAATAGCCGCGATGTTATCCGCGGTTATTGACGTACCGCGGGTGAAGCCGCGGGGCAAAACTAGTCTTAAAAAGTAGCCTAAGTTACTTCTTGTATCACCAGCTACCTATCAGTGAAAGTCCCGTCAAAATCGGTCCAGCCGTTCCAGAGATTAGCCGGAACAACCAGACAGACAGACAGACCGACAGACAGATAGACAAAAATTGAAAAAATGTCATTTTGGTGTATGTACCGTATATATATATATATTCATATGCATGTAGTAAAAACTGGTTATTTCAATATTACAAACAGACACTCCAATTTTATTTATATGTATAGATGTATAGATTATTACACTAAAAAACATGCGTTTACAAAATAAAGTAATCAATAATTACCTGGACTCAAAGCATAGGATAGTTTCTTAACAAAGTTGGTGAGTCGCACCGCCATGATGATGAAAGGGAAACCTATCAACTGTACTGGTAGTTCGAACGATGTCTGCTGACCCGTTCCTTCCATTAGACATTGGAACAGCAGAAATGACAATAGACACCAGACATAACACACTTTAGCTAACTCCATTGCTTAGAACATTAACTCCTAAATTTAAAATCAATTCCCGGAAAAAATGATTACAGCACTACTAAAAATAAGCTGTATGTGTTTTATTTTTTTCAAATCGATTTTGCACACGTTCGAATCGATACTAGGACAAAATGAAATTAATTAAAAATCATTCACGCATTAGTTTCGACGGATTGTATAACACTACGACCTTAGGTGGATATGCAAGTAAAACTGACCGTGTCCGAATGGAGGCTACCGACCGTTTTGTGTTTCGTAATGTAATTATAAAGTAATCAATTGATTACATTACTAATTCACAAGCGACGCTTCATTTGGTGCAATTATGACAGAGGAGCACCTACCTGATCGTCTGTGATTTATTTTGTAACACAAATACCAACATGTTACACAAAAAAAGAAATATTTAATATTTATTTATTTAATTGTACCAATTAATATTTATTACTTCGCTGGATTATTCGAATAGATTTAAACTATTACAGAATATTTACTTAGATTGTGTTTGTCGTTTGCATGTATACTTGTTCCAAAGAATTCCGAGTAATAATTTTCGACAATTAAAAACTTCCTACCACATAATGGAAAACGTAATTCACCGCTTTTTTTAGTATAATTAAAGAAACAATAAAACTAAACAACCAATAGGCACGAACAAAAAGTTTTATCCCAATAATTTAACCATTGGTTAGTTGAGTTTTATTAAAAACCTCCACTGATACATTTTTACGACTATTCATTTAGTAAATAAAAACTTATTATGTGAGTAATAATATAAATAAAATATAACTCTTGAGAATGAAAGTTTAGTTGCGAACACAAACTAGTTTTATGTTGTGAAAACGTTCACACAATTATATTTAATTCAGTTTTATTCAGATCCGTACGAACGAAAGTTGGGATTTGAATGTAAGTTCTATAAAAATCGAAATAAATAAATAAATAAATATTTACTAACAGTCACGCCACGTTAACTGGTCCCGTGATAAGTTCGTAAAGAACTTCTGTTACAGGTACCAGATAACGGAAATAAATGTAAGATTTTTATTATACTCATACACATATTTAATATACATCCGTAACCCTGGAAAAGACATTTATATTTATCATAGAAATATCTTCCCTTGGCGGGATTCGAACCCGCAACCCCCTTGTGTAGTGACCGTGTCACTTACCACTACACCAGACGGCCGTTAAAGTATAAAGTAATCACTATTAAAGGTTTTCACTAGGAAAAGCATCTTGTGGTTATTTAAAGTAACGTCAAAAACACGTATTGGAAGTAAGTACACAATGTTTATAATAAAATCACGACCGCAAAACGATTTCGAAATAAGCAACGTCAGTTAGACTTCTGCACTTGTCAAATACACTGTGTACGCGAACAATCCTTGCCGTTCCCCTCCAGGCGTGTCTGTGGTAATGACTTCTGTCATTAGGCAATAGATGAACAGGTACATTGACTGTGCACGTTTATCTAACCGGCCAGACTAAGAACTATTTCCAGTATACAGGGAATTTCGGGGGCGATAAATCGATCTAGCTACGATTTATTTTTGTTTTATTCGTGTTTTCAATAATCAACTTTATCGATTATTTTGATTTTTTTCTTTAAATAACCAGTTCATATTTTTTTATTATTCTGTCGGTAAGATCGAAAAACATTATTCATATTTCATCATTTTATCAATATGTAATTCGTATTTAAATATAATTTCTGAAAAACACAATTTATCATCATTATCTAGTCATTTGTGGCGAGGCTTGGGGGAGGCCTATGTCCAGCAGTGGACGTCCATGGGCTGATAGATAGATATCTAGTCATTATCTAGTATGGCGTTAAAAAAAGAAGTTGTTGGAAATTTCGTGATAGTACTGGTATTGTGCATGCTAAGCTATGTCGACTAAAGATTGCCTTAATATACATTACCGTGTAAAGAGTAGCTGCAGTTTTGGAAAAACATTCGATTTTAACAGTTAAATCACAACGGATTACTATATTATTATTGTGGTAGAAAGTGAATTTTCATTTCACCAAGGAATTAGCGAACAATGGACACTTTAGGATATAAAGTGAAAGTATCAGTAGTAATACGATTTTTTCCCTAGGATGATAGCCTTGAGAGGCTATTTCAGCTTCACCTTGATGTATAGGTGAGCTCACGGGGCTCAAATTGGGAGTGTTGCTAACACTGGCCCTAGCAAGAGCAGTGCTTCGCAGAATCTACCGCCGGATCGGAAACGCGACCCACTGAGAAGATCCGGCGAGAAACTCAGTGGTTTATGTCTATGGGTTAATTCACTCGTCGAGTCCTTCGTCGCAAACGACAGGTTCGATGGATGGAAACATTGTTTTAACCAAATATTATGTTTGCTTTGTACTGTTGGTTTCCCAAATAAATTAATAAATTTATTAATTTACAATATAACATAATAACAAAAGCTGGATTGCACTGCGGATCCGTGGCAGAAATAGGCAGACTAGTTGAGACTATATGAACTTAAAATGTGCCTTACCATCGATAAATCCTGAAACGATCGCTGAACTAAGGGATTTCCGCTGAAAGATGTAGCGAGGTCATGTAGCCTTATCCTCTGGTAAACATCCGGACGGTATATTATTAATATAGGATCCTTTGCCCTCGATAATCTATTCTAAACTTTACCATCTTTATAAATAATACGTAATCACTCAACAGCTGATTTCATCTATATTAACACATGGGAGACTTTTGTCAAAGCAAATGACAATGGGCAACTCCAGGTTTATCTACTATAATAAACACGACAGAACGTTTTGCTGTTTCGTGATTTTATGTGACCAGCGCACATACAAATCGCCATGAAATTTATAGACGAGACAGTGACACAAGCA